TATTTACGAAAAAGAATAAAATTATTCTTATCTAATCAACTTATTATGAAACAGCACTCACGTACCTTCTACTCCTTTGATGGTGTTTGAGCCATTGCCCTTAAGCTAATGTCTTGATGACCACATAGATAGATTCTCTCCAGTATGACCCATCTTCCCGTTGACCTTTTAGGTCTTTCAGGGCTACACGCACTTCAGAGGAGGTATTCAGCCAGTTCTGACCAGTTCTGGAGAACTGGTAGTGTAAATTTTGAGTAGTTTGGAGAACCGGCAAATAGACTGTCCTCGGCCTGCTGGCTCCCAGCTGATCTTCTTTTGTTGCCCTGAACAGAAGAACAGAATTGGAAAGCAGGAGTGAGGAGGGAATGGGGATTTTGCAGTATCCCTCCCCTGCTACACCCACAAAGCCATGTTCACAGAACCAGTAGTAAAAAATTTTGAATCCCACCACTGATGCACATCTCTTGTAATTGAGTCCATACAGCTTGTTCCTGCTCTTCTTCATTTGCCCTCAATTCTTCACAACATTATGTACCTCTCAAGTAAGCTGGGGCTTTGCAAACATATCCAAACTGTGTCCAATCAATGAAAAAAAAATGGTTTGATTTGCTTCTAATGGATTTTCATTTGCTGGGTTCACTTTTTTCAGTCTAGGTATCTTGGAAGAAGATCTTCTCCACATCCAAATAAAACAATTGTCTTAGTACTTTCATGAGAAACTTTCAAGAAATTTTATGGCTGCAGGCTAGTCTGAGAAATCTAAAAGACAGCTTGGAAAAAAGCAATTGCAAAACATATGATTGCCAAGAAAATAATAAAAATGTACTCAGAAAACCACAAGGAATCAAGGTGGACTTGAGGGAGAGTTCATGTTGTAAACGTTTAGTAATCTCCAGTGTGATCATACAACTATATTCACCATCATCTGAGTAACTATATTATTTATAAATCTATATAGGTGGACCATATAAATTCATACAACTAGAAGCATGGCCACACATGTAGTGCTTTCTTAAAAAGCAGAGCTGAAGTAAAAAAGAAATACTTTAATCCACAATATTGTTCCTTTGTTTTAATGTTCAGTGTTACATGCTTATTGTTAATAAAGTGCATTGTTTGATTTCAACAGATGGGGAAAATGTAATAGAAATACAGAAAGAAGTGTAATTCAGATGTTAAATATATTGTTGGGCATAATTTCCAATGTGAAATAATAAGCAAGAAAACTATTAACATTGCCTGATAACAGCATTTTTGAATGTCCTTCTTCAAAGGAGGGAGTTACTATAAATTCAAATGACAGGGTGATATTCCCTAATGTAAAAAATGTCAACAGATCATAATCAGCCATGATCGTGTATGATATATCAAGTAGAACAGCCTGTTAAGCCTCCTTGAACTTTCTCCATTAATGAATTCACTTTCGACAGTGATTGATCAACATCACTGACCTAGAAAGAAACTTTCTATTTGGACACTTCCTTTAAAAAAAAAAATCTTGTTAACCATTGGAGCTAATTTCAAATAGAAATTTCCAGTGCAAGCTGGACCTCTAAGGGATATACTCCTTATGAATATGTGCTGTAGTGTTCCTTATACAAAGCAACAACATCTGATGTTGGAACCTCTTCTGTAGGTGTGGCCTGTTTGCCGGGTCCACTGGTGGAACCTCTTCTAACCGGTTCGGTAGATTTGATGAACCGGTTCTACCAAACCAGTGCGAACCGGAAGGAACCCGGTCTGAATATGTGCTGTAGTGTTCATTATACAAAGCAACAACATCTGATGTTGGAACCTCTTCTGTAGGTGTGGCCTGCTTGCCGGGTCCACTGGTGGAACCTCTTCTAACCGGTTCGGTATATTTGACAAACCGGTTCTACCGAACCCGGTGCGAACATACATCTGATCTGGTGTATGTTTTGCTATCATAAAGTATGGAGAGCAAATATGTGGATTTGAAGGCAAGAATCGTCATCATTCCAGCCATTGTCTATCCACTGCAGGAAGATGACCTCTTCTGCATATTTCCAACCAATACCTTCTTGAGCTTTCTTTTGCCAATTGGGCCTGCAATACTTGCTGATGCCAGTGCTCCATTTTGTTTTAGGTGTCTTTCATGGATGCATTTTATTAAGTGAGATCCATTCAATGACTGCCTTGGTCCACCTGCCATCAGTTCTTCTTGCTATGTGACCAGCCCACTTCCATTTCAATTCTTTTACTCATTCGATGGTATTGCATACTTTAGTTGGTTCTCTAATCCATGTGCAGGTCCTTCTATCTTGTCTTGTGATGCTGAGCATGTGTTTTTCCATGCCTCTTTGCACTACTTGTAGCTTTTGTATCGATTGTGAGGTAAGTGTCCATGTTTCACCGGCATATGTTAGAACAGATAGCACACACTGATTGAAAACTTTTTTTTACAATTTTTTTAAATTTTATTAAACAAACAACACACACAAAAAAGCATCATCTTACGTTACATCTTGTAGAAAGTGTGTCAATTGGTTACAATTTGCTTTCGTGCATCTCTTCCACAGTCATTACTTACATTCATANAGGCGCCAAGCTGCGGGAGCCAGGGGGAAAGGTGCTCATGTTGCTTGGCGCCTTTGGGATACCGCTAGGTTGGGGAGTGCTGTTCTGCCTGGCCGGAGGGAGGAGTTGCCAGGTGGCTGCTCTCTTGTGAGCGGGCTCCCGAAGAGCTGGGCACAGCCTCAGGGGTGAAGCAGCCATGAGGTGACACCTGGCAAACCCCCTCTCCAGCTGCAGAGCGCCATTCACTGACTTAGGGGCTACCCCTAAGGCGCCAAGCTACGTGGCACTCTGCCCGCCCCCCAGCTCCTGCAGCTTGGCACATTCGGGATTCGCCCTAGATCAGTGCATGGAGCTCTGCCCAGCTAGGGAGGGTGGTTGTGCGAGCGCCTGTTCTGCCGCAGCTTGCATGTGTGCATGGTCACCTCATGGCTGCTTCACCCCTGAGGCTGTGCCCGGCTCTTTGGGAGCCCGCTCGCAAGGGAGCAGCCGCCCGGCAACCCCAAAACAATAAGCCCTCCCCTGATAATAAGGCCGAAGCCATATTTTGTGGGTCAAAAGTAAATAAGACCCTGTCTTATTTTCAGGGAAACACGGTAATGAGTGCTGCAAAAATAGATTGTAAAATTGGGTCTATCTTGTAATGATTGGTTTATGGCCATCAACACTTCCACCCAGAATGAGCAACCTTCCTTATGGTTGTAAGTCAAGGACCAACTGTATGAGTTCTTTCATTGCTGCAACGATCCTGATTGCTTTTCAGATCTGTCTTACCTGACCCACAGCGGCCCCGATACTGCCGGTGCCATCCACAATCCCTGTCACGGTTGCAAGAGCCTCGCTACTTCCTTTGATCGCGTCCTGATGTCCCAGGTCAGCAGAAATGGCAGAGCTGATCATGTTGGAAGGGCCTCCAATAAAAAAGCCTACGAAACAATCAAAAGGAAAATGCAGCTAAGGATGAGAAGACGGAAGAAGCGGGCTCTGTTTCCGATACAAAGCAAGACTATCTTCATCTGAACTTGCAACCTTGCCCCTTAACCAAAGAAAACTGTCAAAAAGTCAGACCAGCCATGCATCCAAACATCAGTGGAAATATTAAAATGTGCTGATTTAGTTTAGAGTCATTGTTAGTTTGCAATCACACAATCATTCCCCATTGGCTGGGGAATTCTCGGAGTTGAAATCTACACATCTTCAAGCTGCCAAGGTGGAGAAACACTGGTCTAGACCCGGGATGGCAAATCTATGGCACGCTTCCCTGAAGCCTCCGGAACACAAAAAACCAGCCCTACAGGCAAGCCAGAATTTTGGAACAAACTTCCAGTTTGCTCGTAGGGCCGGTTTAAGCCCTCCGGAGCCTTCAAGGGCATTCCGGAGTCTTCCCTGAAGGCTCCGGAGGACGAAAAACGACCCTACAAGCAAATCAGAAGTCACTTCCAGTTTGCTCATAGGGCCATTTTTAGTCCTCCAGAGCCTTCAGGGAAGCCTCCTGAGGGCTCCTGAACGCTCCAGAGGGCTAAAATGACCCTACAAGCAACCCGGAAGTGACTTCCAGTTTGCTCATAGGGTCGTTTTTTGCCCTCCGGAGGGGCGGGGGTGGGAAGGCTGTTTTTGCCCTCCCCAAGCTCCTATAAAGCCTCTGGAGCCTGGGGAGGACAAAAAAAGCATGCAAAAAATGGGGGGAGCGCCTGCTGAGGGGGGTTGTGCATTGCATTATGGGTGTGGGATGCCTACGCACACACCCCCGTGCTCCCCCCACTTATGACATGTGAGACAAAAAAGGTTCCCCATCACCGGTCTAAACTATTGCCTATTCGCAAATCTTGCTCGTGCCTTTCTCATCGTTAAGTTTGCATAGTCTAGGTCCATGATGTCAAACCTATGGCATGCGTGCCAGAGGTGGCACGCAGCACCCTCTCTGATGGCATGCGAGCCGTCGCCCCAGTTCAGCTCTGCCATACATGTATGCACACCTCCCTCTGGCCAGCTGGCCTTCGCAACTCTGCCATGCATGCGCAGGTGGTGGGGTGTATGCGGGGGGGGCAGGGTACATGGGTAGGGCTGTGTGTGCATGTGTAGGGGTGGGACACATGCACAGGGCCCATGGGCGCATTGCATTTTGGGGCTTTGGGCACGCATATGCATTCACACACACACAACACACACACACTTTGGGCACTCGATCTGGAAAAGGTTCGTCATCACTGGGCTAGGTCATGTCAGCAACTGGCCCACGCAAATAAGTGAAGCCCCATCCACAGGATGCAGGCAGCATGCAAAACCGCACCCCCTTTAGTCTGCAGAAGAACCTCTCGTCACGGAACCAGCCCCTGGTGCGCAAAAGGTTGGGGGCCACTGATATAGTGTCCCATTAGTCAATGGAAATTAGATAACCACCTATGTGTTTGCTCCCCTCTCCCAAATCTGCTGAAGAAGGGAAAGCAAAATTTACAATATTCCTTAAATGCTATGGCAGTAGACCCAAAGGTGCTTTTTCAAAAGGCAACTGGATTTTCTGGTTTTTCTTTGAAGATGTTTCACTTCTCATCCAGAAGATTGATACGATCTGAAGAGAAAGCAGAGTGTTTTAGTTATACTAAGATTTATACTCTCCTCCAGAAGCTTTTTGGATGAGAAGCGAAAAGTCTTCAAAGAAAAACCAGAAAGTCCAGTGGCGTTTTGCAAAAGCACCTTTGGAAAAACCATGACCTGGATGACTGAGAATCTACCCAGACACCGACGGCAGTAAAGTCTTGTAACATACTAGACTTCAAATGATTGCTTCATACGTTGCAGTAAACCACGATTTTAGTATTGAATAACCCATTTGGTTATAGAAGATGCTGTTATAAATCTGTTGGGTTACAAATAACAGTGGTTAGGTTTGCCTATTACACTAGGCAAAGACCAACAAGCCAGACAGGCTAAGGCTGGAAGAAAACATTGAAACAAGCCAAGATATGACGTTATGAAAACAGATCTTTACTGTCCCTGAAAATATGTTGATCTTTTACCTGTAATCGCCATGATAACAGCATTGATAGGTTTATTATTTGGGGAACCTATGGGAACAAAGAAAAGAAAAAGGTCATAATTCTTTTTGCCACAACAGATAAAAAGTTCAGGATTGGATGAAAAGCGGATTATAAAAGAGACCCTTTACAAGATTATGCATTGACGGGGTATGTTAACAGTGCCTTAATCTTCTGATGCAACAGAGGGTTTCTTTAACTTTGCCTTCACTGATGGTTAAGTATGCTTCCCTCTCAAAACCAGGGGAGGAAAATGAGGAAGACAAGAGAAGTTATATGCTAGCTGTATTCAGTTGGGTCCATAGTTGAACTGCTGGAGCAATTTTGGATCAATAAAACTTTGATTCTCCCTGAAGTGGAATAGAACATTTAGCAAGGCAGCCAAGAACACTGGACTGAAAGGACCTTAGCCTCTCATAGATGAACCTACAAAACCAAGGGGAACAGCTTGTTCCCAATCTTACTGAAAGCAAGAATTCAGCAAAAGGGGTTTTGCCAAGCACTGATCTAATCAAGCAATATGGCCAAGAGTGAGTGATGGAAGCTGTTAGTGCAATATTTCAACGGAAGTGCAGACTTGAGGACTATCTATGAAACCACCAAAATAATAACAAGCTTTGCTTTTGCTCACTGCTCTAACCCAGAAAGGGTTAAATCAAAAGAAATGAATCAAGGGGGAAACCCACAGGTGCTCAATTCTAAAAATTACAGGGTTTCCAGCAAAATGATAGAAGCAATGGATTTCAACTAAAGCTTATGATACTTCAAAGCCATAATTACCCTAAGAAATGAGCAGTAGCAAAACCACTACTGTCACTTGTGCCCATGGCCTGAACACCGGCAATGATCCAATAAAGGTACATCTGCACAAGTGCAGATAGCGCCCTCTACTGGAAAAGAATATTCTCCTTTTCCTGTTCATTCCAGCACACAATGGAACACTCAGTTTGTGGATCTCCCAGAAGCACCTGGTTCACCACTAATGAAAGCAGGATGGAAAGGAGGAAAGCAGAAGAGTTTCACCTGCCCGGCTTATTCAGCAGGCTTCTTGTAATTTTTTTTTTTTGAAGGTTGCTGAGAATGCTATCTCTTATTAAACTCAAAAGCAGAGTTGATTGTAACCCATTTCAATTGCTGATTTAATATGGTAAAGAAAACAGGGCCTATGTTTCGTGCATAAGATAAGGAGGCTAAACAAGCTCATGCCACGAAACCTATTGTGCAGGAAAATACTCACGGCTGTATCCAAAGAGAGATCCAATAGCCAAGATGAGGCTAATAGCTAATACAGGAGCTCTTTTTTGTAGCACATCAGATATAAAACCTTGGATGGTACCGCCTGTAGAAATAGAAGGAATAAAGACTATCACAACAGATCGTAATCATTATGCGCACCAAGAATCAACATTTATTGCTTTACTGTTTTTACAATGCTAGAAGCTACCCAGAATCATTGGACAGTGAGATGGTAGGCATATAAATGTAATCTTTTTTTTTTAAAGCACAATTGGCTACAAATTTAGCTGTCTTTCATACATTGTGTTGACTGGAAGATTCTCCAGCCACTGTTCTAAACCATCTTTTTCCCGTTTTGGTTTTCTCCAAAGTGAGACTTGAAGTTTCCAGACCGCCCAGATAGCAACACTACTGGTAAGAATTTTGGGATTTGAAGATGGGGGCGTGCCCAACTGTGGGGAAGCTGCTGTAGGCAATTAGATTGGTATAGTGCCAGTTTGATATAGTAGTTAAGGTGTGGCCTAGAAACCAGGAAACTGTGAAACTTAGGCATAAAAGCCCACTGGGAGACTTTGGGCCAATCACCAGGAGACTGTGAATTCTAGCCCCCTTAGACATGAAAGTCCACTGGAAGGACTTTGAACCAATCATCAGGAAACGGTGAGTTCTAGTCCCGCCTTAGGCATGAAAGCCCACTGGAAGGACTTTGGNGGCTTAGTCGAGCGCGGTTTTGTCGTGCCACGCATGTACAAACACAATGTCAAGTTGTCAATCACAGCTTAATTTTTGTACTTATTGTATATTTTATTTCTAGAGCTTTTTATCTCCCAACTATGTATCCTATTTATATTTTGAATGCACAAAATTACACAATAAGTACAAGAAATCAGCATAAAGCAGCGCATCACAGAATGGGATCACGGAAGAGGATCAACCTAATGGTAAATCACTAAATTTCAATAACTTGCTAACAACCTGAGATAAAATAAATCAGTGCACCACATAAATATATATCTACCCTGAAATAAGAAAACCAAATCTCACACTATAAGCCTCCAAATTGGTAGTGGACTTGGGTAGTAGTACAGGCTATAAAAGGGAAGGAACATGTATTGTAATGGATTGAATATTGAATATAAAAAGTGTTTATAAAGAAACTGGATCATCATTTTTATCTGGTCAGATTAGACCAGTGGTTGGCAACTCATACTTAGCCATTCCTTCTGAAGCTGTGGAGATCAATAAAGAAATGGCTTTGAATTTAATGTGAGTATTTGGCAGGATTAACTGAAAAGACTACACAAAGTTGTAAGAACATCAGTGAGTAAGATGAATCTAGCCATCAGGTTATGGTTTCAATTATTTCTCCAAGGAAAACCAATCCGAACATTCATTGTAGTAGGTAGATTGTGGTTAGGGCTAGAAAAATAGAAATGAGATAAGTTTTATTAGAAGTCATGAAAATGAAGAAAAACGTGACAACTACAATATAGATAATGGATGGTACTTTTTTACAATCAAGGCTAACCCATGGAGATACTCATCAAGTTTGGAGATTAGGATGATATGCACAATTGTAACAGTTGTAGGAAACTATCCATTTATAATGCACTACATTCCCTGTAAGAATAGTAAATCCACTCTCTTAGTTGATTGAATTTGAAACTGTTTTCTTAGAAATAAAAAGGAGCAACTTAATAATTTAATAGAAAAAATGTAGGAGGTATTGACTTAATGAAAATAAGGTAGAAAAATAATTGTTGCTAGAGATAAGATCCTTATTACTGTTTGTAAAAATGCTTTAAGGATTGTAAAGCAATTGTATATTTCAAATTGGCTGAAGTATAGCCAACAGAGAAATCAACAGGCAATGTACAATTTTTGTCTTAATTGAGCCATGATAAATTGTTTTACAAAGTCATATTTCATTAGAAAAAAATACTGGCACTTGCAGGTTACTAATGGCTATTTCGTTTTGATTTAGAGCCCAGGGCTGTTTTTATGTAGTTTTTGAAGGAGTTCTGTGTTCCCACTTATACAAACTCACATTGAAATAAAGCAATTACTTTATTGAACAATCAATATTGCAAAGATCTCTTTCTATCTACATTTCTCAGTATATCTAGGCTGTGGAACAATTGGCATGATTAAAAATCCTACTTTGACCTTTATAGTAATGCTTAAAACATTTTCTCCCAATCTATTGCTTTACAGATGTATTCCCAACATTAGGCAGCCAACATTGGGGAGGAAATTAATTATATCTAGAATAACTTGCCCAACATTTCCTACCAACACTACAGTACTGAATATTGTTGAAGGCTCTTCTCCATTGCACATTGTAGGTTACCTTCATTTATTTTAGAAAAGAGACAAAGTTCCACACCCCTAAATCTCATGGTTTTGTTCTGTAAAAGATACAGCATGCTATAAAAATATTGTTGTTTACAATCTGTTATTAACAGTTCAAAATATTTCCTAAAGGTGCAACATGTGAAATGGGAGGCAATTCACAGCATGGCGCCTTAGTGATTTAGCATACATACCTGATGCTGACTTAAATTATGTCCCCATTTGTGGTTTATAGAATCTTTACCACATCACCATCCCATATAAATGAGATATAAAGGATGTCCTTATTGCTGTTATTTTGATACAGTGATAACTGCATGACTCTGGAGGATCTTACAGGTTGCTAGTGGAGAAATGACAAATGTATCAGCAGGAAGACAGGAAGACATTACCCATATGCCTATTTAATCTCCTCTCAGATTGATAGCTCTTCTCTCATCTGATCATCTGAGCCTCAGTGGCGCAGTACTGCAGGCTACTTTTGCTAACTATCAGCTGCCTGCAATTTGGCAATTCAAATCTCACCAGGTTCAAGGTTTACTCAGCCTTCCATCTTTCTGAGGTTGGTAAAATCAGGAGCCAAATTGTTGGGGGCAATATGCTAACTCTGTAAACCGCTTAGAGATGGCTGTAAAGCACTGTAAAGCAGTATATAAGTGATATTGCTATCATCTGTATACTATTAAAATTCTCGTCATGACCTTTAACTGGGCAAAACAGTACAATGTGGGACAACATTTTTGAACCAAGGTACCTCAAATAGTCTAACTTGTACAAAGTGTCCAAAATCCAGGACCCATGACTACTGAGAAGATGGCATTTGAGAAAGTTGTGGCTGCTTCAGTGCTACTGGCTACTATGACGCTGCTGCTGTGGTCACGTGGTCCACATTTTCAATGTTCTATGATAATTCAACCCTCCCTCCCTCCCTCCCAGACACAGCAACAGCCACCTACCCATCAGAAGAGGAGGGGAGGGAAGATTTCTGATGTTCTCTGAGAGATTTCCACAAAAAAATTCAATGGGAAAGCCTGCAGGAAGTTGGAAATCACTGCTTCTACTGCTTTTTTTTTGCCTGCCCTTGCTTATTCTGTATCCTTGTTTAGGTAAGGAAACATTGTCAGCCCTCAGGCTGCCATTCAGGGGGGAGCCCATCCATTGCCACGCCTGCTCGGCCATGCTTACATGCCACCAACACTGCCACGTTGATGATGACTTTCTGATGTTGGTGGAGCCTGTAGCTGCATGTGGCTCTGTAAGGCTTCCCTCACTGCTCTGCAGAGTAACTCTTCTACTTGGGTGCAACTGCCTCCTCAGAAGTAACTCTTCTACTTGGGTGCAACTGCCTCCTCAGAAGTAACTC